TTCTCCTTTTCACCAATCGATTATAAGTCGAAAATTTTAATAGAATAATTATATATGCTTGAAATAAAATAATTAAATGAATGCAGGGTTAATTTCGTCGACGCATTTCGTGTTACTTATTGGAATATTGAAACACTTTTCACAGCTCTGCATTTTATAATATAAACATAAAGGAGAAAATTAAACAGAAATTGAAGAGATTAAAGAGGAAAATGGTGAATATGTTAGAAAGAACTTTACGAAAAGGCTTTTATTTTCGCTCTAATCACAGACTATCCTTGCGTTGTCTGATAAATAGTTGTTTATTTTTATTCCAAAAAATAGACATTTAAAAGAGTTTAGATAATATTCAATGTTAAAGAATCTAAAGCTAAATAATCAAAGCCATTTTTATAATGGAAATGACTGTGTAAGTAATGTTAATAAGCTGGTTATAGTGGTAAGATAGCAAGTTGATGTCATTCTGAACTTGTATATCAGACCTTTGATACAGGTATCTTGTTTTTGTATTGTTCAGTAATTGCATGTAATTGTTCTCGTCTAATGGATGATGGTGCAAATAAGTCAAAGTCAACACTTCGAGTGCTCTTGCCAGCCGACAAGCGACCATGAAGTCTTAAGCCTAATATTGATGAATCTTGTCCGAAATTTTGTACCTCTATGCTTGCTAAAGTAAATGATCGAAACGAAATAAAATGTAATTCGTCAATGATGAAACCATGTTCGCATAAAATAATATGACCATATTGACGATTCATTAATCGTTCATAAGATCTTCGTCGACAACAGAACCATGATAAAGCAGGTAAATATGTCCATTGTCGATCAGGACCATGTATATAATCCAAAAAGCGTGTCCATTCTTCTCCATCTAATCGCCAAAAAATCGTTTTTGCTTGATTTTCAATATGCTTGAATTTGTCAAACATTCTGCGCAGTTGGAAGCACCATAAACATAGAGCAATAAGTAAGACACAACCAATTGATATGAGAGGAAATAAACCACCTGAAAATGTGATGGGCTTATTTTCTGGGCATTTTCGGATACCATTCTTGCATTTAGATCCAGAATATGAGGTTGTGGTTAGTATTTGAGTAACTACCACACCAATAGTAAATATAATCAGAAAACATATCCACTGATTACGTTTTCTGTTTCTATGAAACATGACTAGCTCATTTAATAATTCAGCAGATGGATGAGTATTCGAATTAAACCGAGAATCTACATTCGATAAGAATGGATCCTACAATAAAAGTCAAAATATTTTCAACAATGACATAGAAGAATTTATTTTAATCGATTTTTTTCATACACAAGTATTCTACTATGAATAAATCATTATTTGTCAAAAGAGATATGTTCAGTTTTTTATTGAAATATTTGAACTTGACAGCTATCTTAGATACTACAGAGGTCATGTATGTGAACGAATTCCTCACTCAAAAACTTTTGTTCTTAAAAAAATGCAATTTAACGAATTTTTCATGACTCATAAAAAGATTAAGAAGCATCTTTGTGTTTCACAGTATACAGCCTCGTTGAGGTCTATTTATAGCCATGCTATAAGCTAGATCGATAAATCTCTCACTGCTTTCACTTTAATTTTGTGTATCTGAAAATTTTGAAACTATAATATGAATTTTTTGGCTTACATGTAATTGTCGATCGTTAACGTCGATTGCAATATCGTTACGATTAGATTGTGGATGTTCATCCATTGAAGGAATTGGTTGAGCATGTATTTATCTAAACATAATATTCAGAAAAATTTTAGAGAAGTGCTTGAAAAGTTCCAATAGAATATCATTCTTTTATTGAAGAAGATTTGTCTTCTAGTCTATTATTGACTGAAATTCAGTTAGCGATTCTTGAAGTATCTATTCGTTTATATTATGCTCAACATATTCAATACATTAGAAATGAATATTTTTTCAGTCAATCACTTTATTATAAAAGTCTGGTTTTAATAGAGAAAATGTAAATATGATTTTCATCCTAATGATCTTGCATATTCTCGATACTTTCTTGAAAAGATATAATGTGATTTTGGATCTGTTAAACGGGGAGTATTCTTTTGAATACATGAACTGGTTCGAAATTTTGTATTTAGTTTTGATCTAATAAAAAATATACCACTCGAAAGAGCGCGAAAAACTGTGTTTAGTGATCTAGTTTTCATGAAAAGGTACTACCAAGTCCTCAGAAAACATTTTTGAAACACATTTCTTACTAATCTCTATCATAAGGCTTCGTTCTCTCGCAACTTTTTTTCTGCACATATGTGTTCACAAATAGAATCATTCGCATGTGATATCGAAAGAAACTAAAACTTCAATCATTATATTTCTTTTTCAACATTAATTTAATTAATAAAAACAGATTTAGAAAGAATATTCTTTAAGTAAACGAATACGATTAAAAGAGAAATGAAAATCTCTTTTCCAATACAGG